ACATTTGGGTGTGTTAGAGTGTTCAAAGACCTTGTTCTTGGCCTATTGCACACACCTCATAGCCATACACCACTACCATTGGAATGAGGTTCTTGGGAGGGTTTATTGAGCTCCAAAAGTTGGTTTTTGGCCCCTGAAGCTGCTGGTCTCGAATTTGGTCTTCAAGGGTAAGGCCAAGTTTGGCTACAAGAAAAAAAGTGCACTTATTTCATCTTTTTATCTTTTTTGGGTCACATCAATCAACATTTTCTCTCTACTTTTTTCTACACATAATACAAAAAAAGTCAAAAAGTGCACTTATTTAGTCTTCCCAAACTAGGCCTAAGTTTCTTCCCTTTTTAGCACTTTCTTGTACCTCATTTTAGCCTGTCTTGCTTGCTGATTTGAGCTTAGTGTATAACATAAAAAAGTTCTGTTTTTTTGTGTTTAAGATACTTCATTAAGACCACTTTCGTGTTTGGGGTCGTTTACCCCCTCTTAGGCCTTGTTTGGCCCATTTTTTGTGTGATTTTGGTGAGCTCCGGGACCACCTTGTTTGGGCCTCCTCACCACTGAAATCTTGAGGGATTTCAGTGGTGAGGATGGTGGTTTGAGGTCCTAAGAAGGAGAGGGGTGACCCTCTCCCTTGTTGCCTTGTTTGTTGCCCTTTTTGGCCTTCCAAAGGGGCTCCTATTTGCATACTTCCAAGCCTTGTTTCAAGCACTTTTCAGTGGGTTTTAGGACCCTCCATAAGCCATTTCTAGAGTTGGTTTGATCTTGCTAAATGTCTATCTTGCATGTGCTTAATAACTCCTTGGATGGCCCTCTAAAGTAACTCATCATTTTTGCATGCCATGGTTGCATATCAGTGGTTATTTGGGCCTATTTTCACATGTTTTATTCACTGATTTTTGATGGTTTGGTGAGATTCCATGTGCATCATATACTTGCCATACAACCCATGTTTGCTAGTTAAAGTTGCATGCTATTTTAGTCCATCTTGTTAACATCTTTTGGCCATGCTTTGAACTGGAAATATGCATGTTTTGGGACTGTCTTGCATCTGTCTTCATGCTTCATGATCAAATAATGCATGCTTTGTATAGCTATAGGCCAATGCGTATGCCTAGTTTTGTGTTTCGGGGCCATTCCATGCACCGGGTGCCATGTTTCCATGATTCGGGGCTGTTTTGTATCACATTTCAGTGCTGGAATTACATGCTTGTATGCCATATTTCATGCCTTGCCATGCTGTTAGAGTTGCATACTATGCCTTAGGTTTGGTCTCGGTTTGCGTGCATGCGTGCACGCATTTCGAGAGTCTCATTTTTCATCTAATAGCCACTGATTTTGGCATGCTTGCGAGCTATCCATGTTAGTTTAAGTCCATCATCGCATGTTGTTGCATGCCATGTTTACTTACATGTTTAGGTTGCGTGCCTAGTATACATTGCTCATTTGCATGTTCATGTTGCATACTTAGCCTCCATGCCTAGGTTGCATTTCATTGAGCATGCATCCCTTGCCTCTTGATCGATCATGATAGGGGTTGGGGCCCTTTGATGTGTTTTTGTGCTTGCATTTCATTTGATATCAAAGTTGCAAAACTTGGCCTCTTAGGCCATCATGCATAATTGATGGCCCGAGGGTCGAGGGTCATGCCCCTTGAGTCCCTTGCATGATAGGGAGTGTGCCCGCGCATACATGTGCTTGAAATTCTATGCCATGCACTGTCTGTCCTTGTTGCTGTCAAAAACCAGCTTCTGCAGGAAGTTTCTGCCGACCGGCACTGAAGAACGCCGACCGGCAAAGAATATGAGGCCGATGGACTTGAAAGCAGCCGATGGAAATTTCCCATGGCCGGTGGTCATTTCACTTAGCCGGTGGTGTTATGCAGTTCTCATTGAAGATACCCTGAGACTTTGGCAATTTTCAGAGGAGCAGGGCAGCATTAACAGAGGCAGCAGTGGCATGGTATGGGTTTCCGGGCAAAATGGACCGAGCATGCATCATTCGCGCATTCCGAGGCACGACTGCGGCCACCTCCTGTCTGCATTTATTTTGTTAATTAATTAAGGGTCTGTAATAATTAATTAGCTAGGATAGTTGATTTGTTATTCGGACTGTATTATTCTTTCGGTCCCTCCGAGCGAGGGCAAATTTGTAATAAGTGTGGGTGCGTGTGTGCATGTCTTCCAACCCTACGTCTTTCTTCCCTTTTATTTACCCGCTATTGATGGTAGACTAGGGCATATTTAAATTAGCATACCTTATGCTATGCATGTGTGCATTCATACATTTGTCTTGCATGCACCAGGCTCGGTACATCATGCTAACTGCACTCGTATTTCAATTTCAAGTTGAGTATTTGTTAGTTGCAGCATTTCACATGCCATGTTTAGGATAGCCGAGCCTGTTTA